GCAGGGCCAGCAAATATCCACTTGGATCACCAGGATCCTTATCAAGTACCCAACATCAGAAGCAAGAGGAAGAATTCCCAGGGATTCCTCTGAAAGGTAGCTCATTTCTGGAAGAAGGTGATGATTTGAGCACACTGGTCTTCTTTCTGAGTAGTGCATGCAACCTTAGATCTTCCCTCTTTCTGGAATATTCTACTTGTCCAACTTCACCTAGTTTGTGCCTCATGTATCCACTTGAATCAAGCCAAAGCATCTCCAAGACGCCTTCCATGAACATGAAGTCTGAGGGAGCTTTTCTATATGTATTCCTTTGTTTCAGAGAGCTCTTGTCAGTTTACAAACCCTTCTTCATCAATGGAATTATTTGCCATCTACCTACCTCCTTGGCTCCAATAAACTGTAAAATCCATAAGGATGAATAGCTTTCCTTGCTCAACAGAAAGTTTCCTTGTAGAACTAGAAATTCGTTGTAATCTTGGGTGAAGTAGCCTAAAGTTATGGAGGCCTCTGGGGGGGGAGGGGGAACCTTCTCAAAGAATCACACAGAAACCAGAAGAAAGGTTGTGGAAGCTTCTAGTGAAATTAGAAGAGAAGGGAAGGACAGTTCCCTTCCAAGAAAAGTCAAAGCAAGTGAACTGGAAAAATGAAACTGGTGTCATTAACTCTTTACCCATTGAGGTGAACATGAAATTTCATTCGGCCCAGAATGTGAAACTTGGGTTCAAAAGTTACATTCCATCTCCCAACCATGAAAGAAATAAAATATTCCAACATTGTTGATTTAACATTGTAATCAATTAAAGACTATTTTGAATAATCCAAGACACAGAATGGTATTTCAGACAGGGGCTGGCTAATTGATTTACCTTTCAGCTTTTGTTAAATTGGGCGGGGGGAAGATTAGTTGACTGCATTTAGTTAATAGTTTATCTTTTAGCCTTGTGGCTTTTGCTAGCTTCAGGCTATGAAGGAAAGCGAAATTAGCAGTTCAAACCCCCTCTTCTGGTTCATTCTTAACTAAGCAGTGGCAAGCAGCCTGAGGATTTGCTGAAATGTTAGCATTTGAAATTTTTAAGCTACCTCTCTGAGAATCAGCTGCCTCTCTCAATTCCTAACACCTTGCCTAGGCTAACATTTGCATAGTGCCAGATGTATGAGCTCAACAAATATATGTTTGATTAACAAATTAATGAATGACTTAGAAAAACAAATTAAGAAGGTACCTATATTGATTAATATAGTAAAAATAAAGGTCATCCTACCAAAAGCCATATACAGAGTCAATGCAATCCCCATCAAAATTCCAACACAACTCTTCACAGATCTTGAAAGGACATTTTCAGCTTCACAAACAGAAACACACACAAACACACACACACACAAAAAAAAAGAATAGCTAAAACAATCCTGAAAAATGAAAGAATTTCTTCAGGTATCACCAAAAAAGCAACATGGCATTGGAACAAAAACAGACATGTTGATCAATGAAACTGAATTGAATGTCCAGGCATAAATTCACAAGCCTATGAACATCTGATTTTCGATAAAGACTCCAAAAATACTGGGGGGAGGGGAACAGCATCTTCAACAAATGGTACTGGCCAAACTGAATGGCTGCATGTAGAAGAATTAAAAGATTCATACTACCTTGCACAAAACTTAATTCCAAATGGATCAAAGACCTCAACAGAAAACCAGATTCCCTGAATCTGATGGAAGAGAAAGTAAGGGAATAGACTTGAACTCATTGGCACAGAAAAAAGACTTTCTGAACAGAACACCTAAAGCACAGGCACTAAGATCAATAATTAGTAAATGGGCTCATGGAACTGAAAAGCTTCTATACATGAAAGGACACCATCATTCAAGTAAAGTAGCAGCCTACAGAATGTGTAAAAAGTTTTACCAACTACACTTGTGGTTTACCAACTACAGCTTCCTCTTTTTCTGGTTCTACATCAACACAAAATAAGTCATCTCAAAACTCAGTGCATAAAAACTCTTACAGAACAAGCTTGATGACTATTTTGAGTCTCTATAACCAGGTAAAAGCTGGGCATGATGGTATATGTCTACAATCCCAGGATTCCTAGGGCAAAATGGGAGGCAGAGACAGAAGGATCTCCCAGAAGCTTGTAGGCCAGCTAGCCTAGAGTACACAATGCAGAAACAGAAACAAGAGAAACCCTACCTCAAAACAAGGTTGAGGGTAAAGACTGACCCAAGGTTGTCTTTTGATCTCTACATGAACACTGTGGCATGTCCAGGCCTTTTTAAGCATATGAACACACACACACACACACACACACACACACACACACACACACACACACACCAGACATATTACATGCATCCAAAAAAAACATAAAATTTTAAAAATATTAATCAAAACCTCAGAAGCTGGGGGTGTAGCTTAATTAGCATAGTGCTTCCCTTGCATACACAAACTCCTTGATTTGATTCCCAGGACTTCATAAGAAATCTACATACCTATTATCTCAGAACTCTGGAAGTTAAGGCAGAAAGATTGGAAATTAGAGTTTATCATTGGCTACAAAGTTAGTTTAATGCTACCCTGGACTACATAAGGCCCCATCATTAAAAAGTAAAAGTTAATAATAATCAAACCCAGCAGGTCATTGCAAATATTTTATCATGTTCATGGTTTTGTGGGTTCATAATTTAGGAAAAACTCAGGTAGGGTTCTAAATTAAGTTCTCCCCTATATCATCCCTGGCTTCTGATTTCTCAAATGAAGGCAAGGATTTATATATAAAGTATACTTAGGATGTAATCTCAGGGGGCCACTGTGAGAAAAAAAGGATTCAAAACAGAAGCAGGCTAATGAGAGCATGCTGATGGACATATTATCACGATAAGCTACCAGGGTACTAAGAACCTATGAAAAAACAAGATGAAACATATTTTAGGATTGTCTTGTGGAGGCATGAGGAGGCTCCCCAAACCCTTGCCCCACAGTGTTCAGGGTAGCTCATAAATGTGAAAACCCTGGCACTTCTAAGCGTCTATACTGCCTTATACTCAGAGCACCCAGGGTTCACTCTCAGAATCACAGCTTTCAGTGTACAGGCAAGCAGGTTCCGTGGTGCTGTGAGTGAAGTAACTAGGGTACCACAGTGCTGGCTACGCTGTGCTCAAAGTGCTGTGAGCATTGTCCCTACCCGTTCCCACAAGTCTGTAGTTATACTGCCCTCTGCGATGATTAATCTTGCTTGTCAACTTGACTCGGTCTGAAATCAAGTAATAATCCACTGGACACACTGGAAAAGGATTTTCTTGATGAAGTTATGGGAAATAGAAAGATCCCCGCTCCTCCGATTGCGGACAGTCACCTTCCTGTGGCAGCCAGATAAAAGGGGAGTCTCAAAGAAAAAGCTTTTGGTTTTCGCCTGACTGCCTTCATATTCCTTCTCATCCTGCTGGCAAGTTCGTCTACCCTGTTTGTGTCTTGCTGTGGGTTCATCTACCCTGTCACTGCCTCAGACGTTGTTCACTGACTTCACAACCCGACTTCTTCAGCCATCCCCTATGAACTCTAAACGAGTCACTCCCCAGGAACTCTCCAGCCCTTCATCACCCGCCTGGAACTGCTGAGGCCTCCAGCCTCAAGAACCAAACACAATCCAAGTTCTCAGCCTCCCCAGGGTGAAGCCAGCCATAATTGAACTACCCAGGCTGCACCAGGTAAGCCCATCTACTAAATCTTTTTCTAATATATATTCATTCCCTCAATCTCGTTCCTCTGAAGAACCCTCACTGAACTATCCTAGAGTTTACACATGAAGGAACTCCGGCTCTGAGAGGTGACATAACTTGCTCAAAGCCATGCAGCAGATGCAGATTGCTACTTCTAACCTCTATTCAAAATTGCCTCTGAGGACCCGGAAAGGGAGAACAACTTGCCTGAGCCACCCACTAGCCATTGAGGCCGCCATCTGAAATAAAGAACATTGTCACCTCTGGCTCCTTGCCATATGGTGCCTTTTGATCCTCTCCCATGGAGCCCCCCTGCCTTGTAAACGTCATATCTAGTGAATGGCTTGACCCCAAACACTCGCATGTTTTTTGACTCAGCGAAGCAGACAGCACATGCTGTAAGTTAAAACATGTGTCATCTGTGCTGTACATTAAGAATTGGGGTGGGGGGTGTTCTTCTTACCCCCAGCTGTGTGGAAACAACCCAGAAGGGATCTCCTTGGCAGGCTCAGAATGTACTCTGTACACACAGGAGAGAAGGGACAGGGAACACGGGCTTTGCCAAGCTCTGATCCACGAAGGACTTTGCTGTTCCTGGAATTCTACTTAAGAACCACATCATTGGCTCAGCACCATGAATGTGCAACCTTAACAGAATTCGGAGCAACAGGGGACCAGTGCTTATCAGGACCAGGCTGGGCCCTGGAGAGACATGAAGGTGACAGACAACGTGTGGGGGAACCCACTAGAGCAGAACAGTGATGGGCAGCTGTAGAACACACTCATAAGAAAGACAGAGAAGACCCTGCATCTTCAGAGGCAGTAGCTAAGTTTTCAGTCTGCTCCCCTGGAAATCCATCTCTAGTCACATGTATGACAATGTTGAGAGGAAAATGAATAGCCGTGTGATAAACACAGGCTCAAAGAGTCAGAGCTTGGATTGAACCCTCCAGTACACCAGACTCTGAAATCCATCCCATCGCATCACAAAGTTCATTGGGATCAAATGAGCATCCGCAACATAGGACAGGTAAGCCAGTATACAGGTAGGATTGTGGCTTAGAAAATGTTGTGGGCCCTGGGCCTAGCACAGTGCCTGAGCTGGAGAAAATTCCCACTGGAGTTGCCAGGATTCTGCAGGAAGAACAAGAACTGAATGCAAAAGCATGTGTTCAGAACTGTCAGTGGAGTGGTTTGTACAAAGAACCGTACGGGTCCCTGGGTCTTATCATTTAAATTAGAAATGGCCCCAATGGCCCCATGGTAAAGGCTTGGTCACTCACCTATGATGCTATTTAGAGGAGATGGGAGCTTTAAGAGTGGGTCCTAGAAAGAAGTTAGGTCTTTGGAGGAGTATCTTTATAAGAGATACTGGGCTCTGATTTCTTCCTGTCTCTGTTTCCTGGCTGATGTGAAAAGGACAGGTTGCCTCCAATCACAAGTTTCCCCCCCATGATCACTTGTGCTGCTGCAGATGCAAAATGATGATCAGGCATCCAGGAAACCTCTGGATCCAACCAGAAGCCAAAATCTTGCCTATTTATAGATTGATGACCTCTGCCATTTTGTCATAGTGGCAGACAGTTGACTAACACACGAGGCATGATCACTGGGGAGCTTTCACAGAGACGTTGAGTCTGGGAAGAGATGTAAGAATTGCTGTGACTGTGGAGAGAGGGGATCCTGATGGAAGGACAGAGATCCAGATCCAGGAGTGGTCACAGCAGTCGGGGACGGGGTATACTCATCAGGCGAGAGCCGTGATCTGTATAAGAGAGAAACAGAGAGAGGCCAGTTACAGCCATGCTTATCATTAAGTGTCAGCTTATAGACTTTGAAGGGACGGGGAAATACTGCCAATTTAATCTGACCTGTCCCTCTTGCAAGCTAGACATTTTCTCTCAATTCTTGGAAAATTTCTCAACCTGAACACCATTGGCCTTTAGGAATGGGCCATTCTCTGTAGGAGGAGCTAGTGCAAAGCCTTGGAAGATATTTGGTAACACCCTTGACTTCTACCGCTACATGCCAATAGAACCTTCTGCCAGTTCCGACAGCCAAAAACGTCCTGGCTTTGCTAAATGTTCCCTCCAAAGCCAAACTGGCCCTATTTGAGAGCTAAATGTTAAGTTTTTCAAGTTTCACATTATGAGGTGGTTGCTATTGTTAGCTCTGTTTCACAGAGGAAGAAACTGAGGCACAGAGAAGGAATACAATGAGCCCAAGTTCACTGGGTTTATAAGATGGACCACCAAGAAACTTCAGCAGACCTGAGTGTAGTGGCACAAGCTTGTAATCCTGAAACTCAGGATGCCGAGGAGGGAGATCTCAAGTTCAAAGTTCAAGGCTAGAGAGATGGCTGATGGACAAAACAGTTGCCATGTGAGAGTGAGGAGTGGAGTTCTGATCCCCAGAACCCACATAAAAGCAGAGAAGGCGTGAGAACTACCTGAAAACCTAGGACTTGGGAAATAGAAACGAGATCCTAGGATTATCTGACTAGCCAGTCAAGCCAGAATCATGAAGTTCCAGGTTCAGTGGGAGATTCTGTCTCAATAAATACGTGGACAGTTATGGGGAAAGACAGCTGACATCAACTTTGGGCCCCCGACATGCACATATGTATATATGTACCCTCATACACATACGAACCCACACATATGAAAACACACATGCATGTGCAATAAATAAATAAATAAGCCCTAACATCAAGTCATACTGTGAACCTTCCTAGTTGTGAAACAAATCTCTTGGATACCTGTAGTGACAGCTCCTGTTTATCAAATACATATGTTCTAAAATGATGATAATCTTTGCCTTTCATCCTCACATTGCCCTATGGTTATATCAGCATCATGCATCACTGTGTCTCAGCACCATGGATCACTGTGTCTCAGTCCCATCCTACGTCAAGTTGGGGTAACCCCGGAAGCCACCTCACAGATCTCCATAATCACAATCATCAGAGGGATTTAAACACGTCAGAAGTCTGCCGTGAATAACAAGCAACACTGTCATTTCCAATTTTCAAATCAGGAAACTGAATCAATTAATATCCAAATCTCTGTCTTTGCCAATCTTCCTTCAGACTCAGGGATTAACCTCCACTGTTAATCCAGAGGTTTGTCTTTAAGCATGTTTCCAGAAAGATTCCATTGACATCCAAGGACCCATTCTGAGTGTGGGTGGCATTATATCATGGTCTTAGGTACCAGACCAAATGAAATGAAAAGGAGAAGAGGTCAGCTGAGCCTCGTCACGAGCTACCCCAGGCTGCTGCTGACTCTGACCTCAAACTGTGGGCCAAAATAATTTTGATGGTTTTGTAAAGTAGTTTGTCACAGCAAAGAGAAGAGTGACGAATCCATCAGATTGAATACCTGGAAAGAGGTACTGGGCAGTGGTGGCACACGCCTTTCATCCCAGTACTCGGGAGGCAGAGGCAGGCAGATCTCTGTAAGGCCAGCCTGGTCTACGGAGCAAGTTCTAGGACAGCCACAACTACACAGAAAAAACTTGTGTAGAAAAACCAAAAAAAAAAAAAAGGAAGAAGAAAGAAAAATAATATCTGAAAAGTGGAAGCTGAAGCAAAGAGTCAGGTCACGCGGACCTGAGAGCCTGCCTGGACTCCACGGACCAGAGCAAACTAGAAAGAGGCGCGTATTGCAGCCGGTCCCTTGTGCTTTGGTGCCCTCTGCTGGCCTTGGAATTCACTGCTAGAAAGTAGTGTGTATGAGGGGGCAGGGAAGGATGGACCAGAGTGTCTGTCCTCTGTTCTTTGGAAGACGTGTGTGTGTGTGTGTGTGTGTGTGTGTGTGTGTGTGTGTGTGTGTGTGTGTGTGTGTGTGTGTGTGTGTGTGTCTGTGTGTGTGTGTGTCTGTGTGTGTCTGTGTGTGTGTGTCTGTGTGTGTGTGTGTCTGTGTGTGTGTCTGTGTCTATGTGTGTAAGCTGAAAGAAAAACTTGAAGAAAGAATGTTAAAAATTAAGTATTTATTACTGAGACGCTCCTATGAGCGAGGCTTTCTCTATTTATTTCTTTGCTTAATCAAGTTAGACCGTCAGGAAGCACATGGATAAAGAGCAATGAGCTGCCAGGCAGAGAGGGGGCTGAGGGCCAGTAGAGTACAAGAAACATAGATTGCTGACACACATACACATGCATGCACACCTGTTCTGATGTATTAATAGAGGAATTGTTTCAGTTTTAGGACTAGCCGCACTCTGTGCCTTCAAGGTTTTGCATTTCACATCTGAGACGTGTTGGGGGTTGCTACAGAGATTAAAGGAACCGAGTCATGGGAGAGGAAATCCATTCAGACTCTCCTTTCTATAATTCATTTCATCCGACAAGGTAGCCATTAGCACATTGTTTTGTAAAGCCTGAGACACTGGGTGGCTGGTCCAGCAACAGCACCAAACTTGCTCCCAGCACCTTCCTCCGCCCCTTGCTCCACAGTAGGGCTTCCCCTCAGTGAGGTGCAGGCACCGGGCTCAGCTCTCAGAATCCCTTGACCATGCCATGGACACAGTGGACACTGCTTCATATTGTCCTCATCTGAGTCACCTTGCTGCTGCCTGAGAAGAGAGAAGAGACCACTGTCTTAGCATAGGAAAAAGCTGGGTGCTGAAGACAAAATCACACGGGCTTTCCTGGGGCGATTCAGTTGCTCTGAATCATCCAGTGAAAACAAGCATTTTGCCATCTGGTCATCGCCTTGGGGCTGAGGTGTCAATCCCCTGTCCTTCATCCTGCCCTTCTTAGGAAAACACTGGCCCTGGGTGGTCCAGATGGCTGCAGGCCTCTGCACAATGAACAGAGGCAGCTGATGCATGTGACTCCCCCTGCCCCAGGAAGTCCTCCCTTACAAAAACACATTAGAGAGATGTTCCTCCTGAATGGTTTGTTAGAGTCAACCACTTCTGGGAAAGGAAACACGAAAGACCCCAGAAACTGTACAATGTCTCCACCCCCAGCTCCTGCAGATAGATGAATGAAGCCAACATGCCCACGGTCTGAGGTACCTGTCCCAGCCTGTTCATCCTGTGGAGATTCTAAAAGTACCTCCCATCAGCAAGAAAAGGAGCATTTTAATAACAAGCTTTATTGCATCTCAGGCTGTTTTCCCCTTCTCCTGTTAGTGTTTACCCTGGACAGGAGCTGTCTGTAGCAACTTCCTCTTCTTGGGCTCAATACAGTAACCAAGGTTTCTCTAGCTCACATCTAAGGCAGACAACCTCCAGCAGCCCTTGGAAAGGAAGACCCAACAGAATAATATAGAAGTCATTTCTGAGTGGAACTGGAACTGAGGATTGCTCCAGGTCTCCAAAGTCCTCAGCAGCAAGAACGCCTTACAGGAACCTTGGAAACCCTCAAGGCCCCTGCTCATTGGCTTAGTCCAAACTCTTCTCTATGCATATGGAGAATTGAAAGATATCAACAGAATGAGAAGTGTGCAAGAGTAATATTTAAAGGTATCATTTAAACTGTGGTATGAATTCTAGTGTACGTGACTGGGAATGATCACCTAGAAGTATAATTTGGAGCATTTGTCTAGCATGCTTAAGGACCTGCATTCAGTTCCAGTGTGGCAAAATAAATAAAAGGATTAGTTTGGTGATTCAACTCATGAATTTATTTATTTAGGGTTTGTTGTTATTTTTGTTGGAGGGACATTTTGGTTTTTAGTTTGGAGGGTTGTTGTTTATCTGAGATGGAGTCCCATGTACCCACAGGTCAGCCTGAACTTATTACGTAGCTTAGAATGACCTTGAACTCCCTCAGACTCTCTGCTTCCATCCCAAGTGCTGAGATTATGGGTTTATGTCACCATTCCCACTTCCCCATTAATATATTTTCCTGATATATAAGAACTGTTAATAACAAATGTCAGTAAATAATAAATAATGTTAATACATTAAAATTGATGTTGGCATTGTTAATGCTATATCAATATAGAACATTAATTTATATATATATATATTACTATAACAGAAGTCAAAATAATAAGAAGTCAAAATAAAGGAACATATTTTGTCATCCATGGTGACAACTCTCAATTTGAATGCTATTGATATTTTAAACCAAATTATTCTATTTGGGGGCAGCTGTCCTGTGTCTTGGAGAGTGTCTACAGGCAGGCATGGGTTTCTGCCTAAGAGCCATGAACATCAGCTTTCCACCAGTTGTGACAACCAAAATTGTCTCCTGGTGCTACCATATGTCTATTGGCAGAGGGCACACTCTGCTCTGTCTGACCCTGTACCAGTCGCTGGCACAGAAACTTAATTTGCCCTTTCTTTAGTGGCAAAGCTGGAAAGCATCCATATGTCGTTCAAATGACTACTAAAGGGACAGATGCTTTCAGGGTTGACCCTTTTTATTCCCTACAGCTCTTAGTATATGTCATGCCCAATGACACATGAAAAGTCTGAGAAGCTCAACCCCAACAAATTGCAGAGCTGAGCAAAACTAAGTGGAAGACAGGGCTTGAAAAGAAGGAAGAGGGGGGCTGATTGACAGGGCTGAGGGTATCTAAAGCAAAGGCAATAGCATGAATCATAACAACTAAATAAAGAAGAGGAGCGAAAGTCTAAGAGAAAAAAAAAAAACAGGCCAAGAGGCCTAGCATCAACTGTGGTGCAGATCGGGGCATATGCTCTGCCCCAAGCTCATCCAGAGAAACAATATTGGGATCCTTAATTAGAGTGTAGCCAGTTAGAAGACAAACAGAAACAGCAGGTGAATGTTGCTGACTTTCCAGAGGAACCTGGATCCTTAACAGGAAATGGTGGCTCACCTGCCTGCATGGAATTTCTGCCAAGGAATGCAGTGCATCTGGCGGGAATAAAGCAGTTATTGATAGGGGTCTGTCCACTGAAACTGTAATGTTTCAGTGTCTGAAAACAGGAGAGAAAGAGGCACCTGTCAGTGTGGCTGTCAATGGAGGAGAAAGTCACCCCTGTTTCCATCTCCACATCGAGTGGGCTTGGGAAGAGAGATGGAAACAGGTGTGTTTCTTGCTGTTTCACCTATAACATCTCAAATGTTAGGATTAGTTGGGCATGGAGATGTCAGAAGTAAACACCTAAGATCTAGCCCTGCCAGTGACTGTTGCAACTCCCCTGAATGGATCATTTTCTCCTCTGAGCTGCAGTTTCTTTACTTGTTTATGCCAGGTAACACACTTGCCTTGAACAGCTGATTATGGGTATCTATAAGAGAGAACTGATTGAAAAATAATACTAACATCTGTCTCAGGTGAGGAAGAGTCTTGACATCTTCTTCTTCATAGGACTGGGTTTTGAGGGCTCAGCACTAAGATGCCCAGTCTGAGGGGGAAATCAACCATCCTGACTGATGAGAGCCAACATTCATGTGTTTTTCCTTGTCATTGGGATTCTGAAGCCATCCCTGTGTCCTGCTGCTTCACTGGGAGTCTACTTTCTAGGAAGAATCTTGGAGTATAATGCTCTTACACAAAGAAATAAAACCTAATGCTAGCTCAACACCCACTACTACCAAGTCTTAAAAAGTCTCACTGCTGAACAATTCTGCTTTCATCTCCCCTACCTCTATCCTCCAGACAAAGACACAGACATGGCAGGCATCCACCAGCCCATCTACCAATATGGGCTTTTAAGGAGAACGGGAAAAGGCAGTCTCCTACTGACTCCAGATGATAGGGTCAAATTTGTTTTCAAGCCTAGTGTTTAGAAGAATATGGGGCATCTTGTTTATGCACATCCCTCCTGCATCTTCAAGTCCAGGAGTGATCACAAGAGACATTTCATCCGCATGTTTCTCATTCATTGAAAAGTACCTTACTAAAACATAGCTAAACTATATGAGGCTGAGACAGTTTTCTCATATTCCATCACTTATTAATTTTGCTTTGATTCCAGAAGCAGTAAGTTCTACTGCTGAGAGCAAATGGTTTGAAACTTCAACATGTTCACACTTAAGCCAAGAACAGAACTTCTCCACTAGACTGTAGTTGATCATGCAGAAAGACACTTCCTATCTCTGGTTAGGGCAGGAGTTCTCTGCTGAGTACCATTCTTTTAATATCCAAAAACTAAGTGGAATTGTATGTTTATGGGGAAAAATTTATTTCCATAAAATGGGTGTCTTAGTTTGGGTTTCTATTGCTATGGAGAGACATCATGACCTTGGCAACTCTTTTTTTTTTTTTTTTTTTTTTTTTTTTTTTTTGGTTTTTCAAGACAGGGTTTCTATGTGTAGCTTTGCACCTTTCCTAGAACTCACTCTGCAGCCCAGGCTGGCCTCAAACTCACAGAGATCTGCCTACCTCTGCCTCCTGAGTGCTGGGATTAAAGGCGTGCACCACCCCTGCCTGGCTCAGCAACTCTTATAAAGGAAACATTTAATTGGGGTGGCTCACTTACAGTTTCAAAGGTTCAGTCTGTTATCATCATGGTAGGGAGCATGGCAGGACACAGGCAGACATGATAATGGAGTAGAAGTTGAGACTGCTACATCTTGCAGGCAACAGGAAATGAACTGGGACACTGAGCAAAGCTTATGCAAAAGACCTCAAAGCCCGCCTCCACAGTAATGCATTTCCTCCAACAAGGCCACACTTCCTCCAACCAAGTCACACCTCTCAATAGTGCCACTCAGTCTGAGGGACATTTTCTTTCAAACCACCACAAGAAGTAAAGTACAAAATTTTTTAAAGTGGCAGTATCTTCTTAAACACTGAAAATATGCAGAAGAGACACAATTCTCACACAGTTGGAGGGAATATACCAGAGCTGTAGGATGTAAGATGTTTGTGTTCATCAAAAAAAAAAAAAAATGTAAAACCTGAAACAGTCTTTTATGAAAGTGACATCACCTATTTCTTTCTTTATACATTTATAATTTATAAATGTTTGATAGTGAGTGATTCACGTGTTTCCTGATTTTAGCTTCACGGTTAAATCTGCTTGGTTTATAATTAGAAAATTATTTTTTGAAGTTTCTATAATTTTTAGTTCATTGGGTGAATGCCTTCCTATTTTTATCATTCCCATTTGTTATAGTCTGATAGCAGATTATATCTCTACTTTAGTATCAACTCAGATTCTCCTCCTTTCCACTGAACTTCTGGATTAATAAAAAAGAAAGAACTTTGAATTCAATGATAATATTTTGAGCTCGTCTTGACCCTTCTCAACCCAGGCAGTTTTTTGGCCCTTGGACATCTTTGCTTCTGCATCCATTAGATCCTCACTATACTGAATCTGCTTAAGACTGCTAGAAATATGTTCATCCTTTTCCTACCTCTCAAAATGGATGTTCTCAAATGGATGAACTAGTGAAGAACAGCACATCCTCCATTAAGCAGTATACAAAATAATCACACAATACACAAGTGTGTGTGTGTGTGTGTGTGTGTGTATGAGAGAGAGAGAGAGAGAGAGAGAGAGAGAGAGAGAGAGAGAGAACCTATGACCATATGATCTTACACAGTCTAGAGAATTGCAGATGTGATTAAATCTTGTCTTAAGGACCTTAACACAGAAATATTATTCTGAACTATGCAAGTAGCCACATTGAAATCACCAGAGCA